GTGGGTTCCAGAGATTGAACTCTGCTTGTCAGGCTTGCTGGCAAGTGCCTTTCCTCACTGAGCCCTCTCATTGGCCCTCAAGTTTGTTTGTTTGTTTGTTTATATTTGTTTGTTTGTTTGTTTGTTTGTTTGTTTGTTTTGAGACAGGGTCTTACTATGTAGCTCTGGCTATCCTGGATCTCGCTCTGTAGACCAGGCTGTCCTTGAACTCACAGAGATCCGCCTGGCTCTGCCTCCCGAGTGCTGGGATTAAAGGCGTGCGCCACCAGGCCCTCAAGTGTTTTTTTAAAATGAGATAGTCTCATATAGCCCAGGCACTGGTCTTGAACTCTCCCTCTTCCTACCTCAGCCTCCAGAGTAACTGAGATTACAGGCCTGCACTGCCAGGCTCAATGGACATTATTATTTCTTAAGGTTAATCTCTTCCTTCAGTGCCTTGCAATAAATACTATTTAAATCATTAAAATAGTAAAGGCTTCCCTGCCATTTTGTGAAACATCTCCCACATAAGAACTATTCATGGCTGATTTTTTTTTTTTTACATTATTGGGATGATACAGAGAACAGGGAATAGACCTCGTTTCTGCCCTGCGGGTAGCTGGGCTTTAGAAAAGGAACCCAGCCCCGTGACCTGGGTTCACATCCCTGTTCTTACAGTGCTTCACTCTGTGTGCTCAGGCCCACTGCTGGAAGACTGGGATATAATTAGCCCCAAAGATGTCATTGGATCCGATGTGCTACTGGCTGAGAAGCGTTCCTCACTGACGACAGCTGCCTTGCCTTTTACACAATCCATCCTCTCTCAGGTGATTTCAGGAGACTGGGGGGCTCCAGCTGTGCTTGGAGGGAAGGGCCTATCTAGCACTCCCCTTCCAGAGCTTGCCGATTGGCCTCCGCCCTGTCCTGCACAGGGCTCTGCCGCAGCAGCAGCTGTCCTGCACAGGGCTCTGCCGCAGCAGCAGCTGTCCTGCACAGGGCTCTGCCGCAGCTGCTGTCCTGCACAGGGATCTGCAGCAGCAGCTGTCCTGCACAGGGCTCTGCCGCAGCAGCTGTCCTGCACAGGGCTCTGCCGCAGCAGCTGTCCTGCACAGGGCTCTGCCGCAGCAGCTGTCCTGCACAGGGCTCTGCAGCAGCAGCTGTCCTGCACAGGGCTCTGCAGCAGCTGCTGTCCTGCACAGGGCTCTGCCGCAGCTGCTGTCCTGCACAGGGCTCTGCCGCAGCTGCTGTCCTGCACAGGGCTCTGCCGCAGCAGCAGCTGTCCTGCACAGGGCTCTGCCGCAGCAGCAGCTGTCCTGCACAGGGCTCTGCCGCAGCTGCTGTCCTGCACAGGGCTCTGCCGCAGCAGCTGCTGTCCTGCACAGGGCTCTGCCGCAGCAGCTGCTGTCCTGCACAGGGCTCTGCCGCAGCAGCTGCTGTCCTGCACAGGGCTCTGCCGCAGCAGCAGCTGTCCTGCACAGGGCTCTGCCGCAGCAGCAGCTGTCCTGCACAGGGCTCTGCCGCAGCAGCAGCTGTCCTGCACAGGGCTCTGCCGCAGCAGCTGCTGTCCTGCACAGGGCTCTGCCGCAGCAGCTGCTGTCCTGCACAGGGCTCTGCCGCAGCAGCAGCTGCTGCTTTTTTTGTTCTGTTTTGGTTTTGACCTGTAGCTTCTTGTCCTCCTTCCTTCCTTCCCAGGTGGGCCGTACGTTGTCTAAGGTCCAGCAGGTGCTGAGTTGGTCGTATGGAGAAGATATCAAGCCTTTCAAACCACCTCTGAGTGATGCTGAGTTTCACACATACCTGAATCATGAAGGCCAGCTCTCCCGTCCTGAGGAGTTGCGATTGCGGATCTATCATGGTGGTGTGGAGCCTTCACTTCGAAAAGTGAGCCCCTCAGTCACTCACTGTACCCATCACTCTGTGGTCACTGGTAGCACATGAGATGATACATTCAGTGAACACACTGTCATAGGTAGGGTAGAGAGATTCCAAGGAAGGAGGTTCTGTTTTAGGTAGTTCAGTGGCACGAAGCTGACTATCACAAGGAGGACAGAGGCCACAAGAGACAGGGTGGGGGGTGACTAATTGCCATGGGTATAAAGCTCAGCCTCATTTCCTATTGTCTCTGGCCAGGTGGTATGGCGGTACCTCCTGAATGTGTACCCAGATGGGCTGACAGGCCGTGAGCGGATGGACTACATGAAACGGAAGAGTCGAGAATACGAGCAGCTCAAAAGCGAGTGGGCCCAGCGAGTGAACCCTGAGGACCTGGAATTCATCCGCAGCACAGTCCTCAAGGATGTGCTTCGTACAGACCGAGCCCATCCCTACTACGCGGGGCCTGAGGATGGCCCACACCTACGGGCCCTACATGACCTGCTCACTACCTATGCCGTTACTCATCCACAGGTATCATACTGTCAGGGCATGAGTGACCTGGCGTCGCCCATCCTTGCTGTCATGGACCATGAGGGCCATGCCTTTGTGTGTTTTTGTGGCATCATGAAGCGCCTGGCTGCCAACTTCCATCCTGATGGTCGTGCCATGGCCACCAAGTTTGCCCACCTCAAGCTGCTGTTGAGACATGCTGACCCAGACTTCTACCAGTATCTGCAAGAAGCAGGCGCTGATGACCTCTTTTTCTGTTACCCGCTGGCTGCTGCTGGAGCTTAAGCGCGAGTTTGCCTTTGATGATGCTCTCCGAATGCTAGAGGTCACCTGGAGCTCCCTGCCCCCTGACCCTCCTGAACATGAAGTGGAGCTTGTTGGACCTCCCAGCCAAGTGGCAGACACTGGCTTTGGTAGCCACAGGGGACGGCCAGTCCGTCAGAGGCACATGCTAAGGCCTGCTGGTGGAGGAGGCGGTGCTTTTGAAGACGCTGTTGTCCACCTGGCTACATCCAGCCAGGGACCTAGTGGTGGGGGACGTCTCCTGAGACAAGCCAGCCTGGATGGTCTCCAGCAACTCAGGGATAACATGGGCCCCAGGAAGGACTTTCTAGTCCAACTAGCCCATCCAGCTACCCTCATTAGCTCTAAATCCCGCTCTGAGCCCTTGCTGAACTCCGCAGACCCACTCCTCTCCTCCTCCTCTCGGCCTGATTCCCCATCTTCTTCATCTCCTCCATCTACCCAGGAGGCTTCTCCTTCTGGTGACATAGCTGTAGGATCCCCCTTGATGCAAGATATTGGTTCTCCCAGAGATCCAGGGAAGTCCCTACCACCCCCACCTCCAATGGGCCTTCCCCCACCCCAGGAGTTTGGCCGAGGGAACCCATTCATGCTCTTCCTCTGCCTGGCTATCCTGCTGGAACACCGTGACCACATCATGCGCAATGGGCTGGATTACAATGAGCTAGCCATGCATTTTGACCGCCTGGTGCGGAAACACCATCTAGGGCGTGTCTTGCGCAGGGCCAAGGCTCTCTTTGCTGATTATCTGCAGTCGGAAGTGTGGGACTCTGAGGAGGGGGCTGAGGCCACAGCTCCATCTTGATTGTAACCCTTCCAGCTTTCCAACCCCAGTTCTACTCCATTCTTTACATTGAGGGCCTACACACGAGACATTGTTCCCTGCCTGCCATCCCTAGACATGTTGGAGCCTGGGACCCTCTCTCCCTGGGTTTGAGTGTGTGTGACTCACTGTTGGCACTGGCCACAGAGGCATGGCCTCTTTTCTGGTTTGGTTTTGTTTCTAAACTATTCTTTGCACACACAAAGGTCACTGTGGCATGTGTATTTCTTTACTTCCTGGATGTTGTAGAAGTTACTATGGGCTCTTTAGTGGATGGGGACTGAAATAACTCAGTTGGTTTAGGGTGGCGCCTGCTTTCTCTACAAGCCACAAGGAGAGTAGTTGTTGAAAACCAGTATTGGTGAACCCGGCCCAGGGACTGCTCTAGAAAAGGCTAAATCTGTTTGTTTGGTTGCTTGGTTGGTCTTGGGGTATATCTGTCTACCTGGAATATAAAGGTCTATTTGATAGCTGTGGATGTTATTTCAGGACAGGCACAAAAAGATGAGGAAGAGAGTGTTTCTAGCTCAAAAAAAGGCAAGATTTGTGCCAGATGTGGCGCACGCCTCTAATCCCAGCACTCAGAAGGCAGAGGCAAGAGAATCTCTGAGTTCGAGGCCAGCCTGATCTACAGAGTGAGTTCCAGGACAGCCAGGGCTGTTATACAGAGAAACTCTGTCTCAAAAAAAGAAAGAAGTGGTGACGCACACCTTCAATTCCAGCACTCGGGAGGCAGAGCCAGGTGGATCTCTGTGAGTTTGAGGCCAGCCTGGACTACCAAGTGAGTTCCAGGAAAGGCGCAAAGCTACACAGAGAAACCCTGTCTCGAAAAACCAAAAAAAAAAGAAAGAAAAAGAAAAGAGCCTTTAATCCCAGCACTAGGGAGGCAGAGGCAGGCGGATCTCTGTAAGTTCGAGGCCAGCCTGCTCTACAGAGCGAGATCCAGGACAGGCACCAAAATTACACAGAGAAACCCTGTCTAGGGGGGAAAAAAGAGAAAGAAAAGAAAGAGGCAAGATTTACTACAAAAACTGGGAGTTTATGGCCTAAAGAGAGAAACATTTAGGCCACTCATCATTTCTAGGATCTAGACTCTTTGTGGACCTTCCAGTGCATGATGCTGGCAGCCTTGAGCAGGGGTCTAAGGTTTCTTGCTTTCCACATGCTTTGGAACCAGCTTGTAGAACTATGCCATGCCATGCTTAGAGCCCTAAGCTAGGTTTCCAGCTGATGGACGCCTGTCTTAACTATTTCAGCATATTGCCACTAATATGGATAAGAAAAATCAAGCACTGATAAAACTTGAACCCTAAAAGAATTTGCCTAAGTATTTGCAAGATAATGATAAAAATGAGGTCCTTGGGGCTGAGTGACGGCTCAGTGGTTAACAATATTCATTACTCTTACAGAGGACCTGCATTTAGTTCCCAGCACCAACATGGTGGCTCAGAACCATCCGTAACCCCAGTTCCAGAGGATCTAACTCCCTTCTGACCTCTGGGGCCAGTAAGCATGCACATGGCATACATATATGCATGCAAGAAAAACACTCATTCATATAAAATAAAACTAAAAAAAAAATCAGGTCCTTGATCAGGCTGCAGTGGTATGCACATAATTCCCAGCTACTTGGGAGAATAAAGGAGAATCACAAGTTCAAGTCTAGCCTGGGCTACAGAGGGAAAAATCTGTCTCTAAAAAAGGCAATCCCTCTTCCCTACTTACCTAATCAGAATGTGGAGGAGCTTTCTCACAAGGAAACTGTCCTGTGCTAAGGATATGATAGATAGTAGATGAGCTAACTGGGGTCCCCGAGTCATGACCGAGCTGTGCAAGGTCTGACTAGAAGTTATGCTGCCAGAGATGATGGGACATCAAGGAAAAAATCATCTTATCTGTCCCCCCCCCCCCCACATTACCATGTAAAGCTGAGAGTGACCCTTAAATGGTTCTTATCACCCCCCAATGTTGGTGGAGAAGGATTAGTCACTTGAAGAGCAGGACACAGCTATCTTTTTGTGTCCAGGGTATTCAAACACTGTGGATCTACCAAGTGCACACTGTGAATAAGGGGCTTGGACTCCGTAGAAGCCATACATAAGAGTGTAAGGGCTTTCTGGAGACTTTATGTATTCCTTTCGTCAGTAACTAGCTGACACCCTATGGGGTATGTTCTATGATTAATGAATTCTGATTTTATTATTTAAAGCTGTCCTGGAACTTGCTTATGTAGACTGGCTGGCCTCAAACTCAGAGATCTGCCTGCCTCTGCCTCCTGAGTGCTGGGATTAAAGTTAGGTGCCACCATGATTGGCTTTCATGTTAATTTGATGTGTATGGTTGTTTTGCCTACATGTATGCCTATGCACCACTATGTGCAAGAAGCTTGCAGAGGCCAGAAAATGGTATCAGATCCCCTGGAACTGGAGTTACAGATAGTTGTGAGCTCCCATTGGGGTGCTGGGAACCAAACCTGGGTCTTCTTAAAACAATGAGCCATCTCTCCAGCTCCAAGTACTGATATTTAAGGGGTCATACAAGTCAGTATTCCCTTTAGAATTCCAATGAATCCATTCTGCTTGGGCTCTGAAAGGCAGAAACCTTTACTTTTTCTCTAGGATACTTGGACCTTCTGGTCCATTCCAAGATGGCAAGAGATATAAGCTGCTGAAACCACAGGGAGAAACTCCAGAGGAAAACACAGGCTCCAGGGCTGACAAGAGGGCTCAGTGGGGAAAGGTGCTTGCCACCAAGCCTGAGAAGCTGAATTTGAGCCCTAGGCCCCACATGGTAGAAAGAGAGAACTAACTCCTGTAAATTGTCCTCTGACCTCCACATGTATTCGCCACCCCCTCCCTGATACACAAAATGAATAGTGTAATAACAAATAGTTTTTTTAGAGCCAGGCAGTCGTGGCGCATACTCAGGAGGCAGAGGCAGAGGCAGGTGGATCTCTGAGTTTGAGGCTACCTTAGTCTACAGAGCGAGTTCCAGGACAGCCAGGATTATACAGAGAAACCTTGTCTCAGAAAACCAAAAATGTGTGTGTGTGTATTATATATACTTGTGTATATATTTATATATGTATATAAATGTATAAAATATATAAATACATATACATATATTCACTCCATAGACCAGGCTGGCCTCAAACTCACAGAGATCTGCCTGCCTCCTGAGTGTTGGGATTAAAGGCGTGTGCTGCCACAATTTAGTTTTATATATATATATTTTTTTTTCTAAAGAAAACATGGGTTCCAGAAATTATAGCACAGCTCTGAGACCCATGAGGGCATAGAAAGCCATCTTTTTTTTCTTTTTAATATTAGCCTTTTTCTTTTATTCAGCTTAAAAAATGTATTTGCTTTTAATGCATTGGTGTTTTCCCTGCATGCATGTCTATGTGAGGGCGTTGGATCCTCTGGAACTAGAGTTACAGACAGTTGTGAGCTGCCATATGGGTGCTGGGAATTGAACCTAGGTCCTCTGGGAAGAGCAGCCTGTGCTCTTAACCACTGAGCCCTCTCTAGCTCCATAGGAACTGGTATGTTTTGAGAGACAGGTAGCCGGAGGCAGCAAATACAGTCTAGACTAGAGGAAAATGCAGGTTATTATGGCTCTATCCTTTTCTCCACATTGCTTTGGAAGTTTTTGCCTGCTCTCTTACTGAGGAAATCATCCAGACCCAAGTACAGGTGTCTAGATGGCTAGTGTGAAGGCAGCAGCTATCCTAGGGGAAGAAACGGGCAGCCAGTGGCCATCAGACTCCCAGGTGCCAGGACTGCTGGATACTCTGAGGGAGACCACTTCCTTCCCCGCTCCCCTCTGGGACAGGGTTTCTCTGTGTGTAGCCCTGGCTGGCCTCGAACTCAGAGATCTATCTGCCTGCCTCTGCCTTCCAAGTGCTGGGATGAAGAGGTGTGCGCCACCACTGCCCAGCCGAGACTATCTCCTTTTAAAGTGATTTTTCCTCTGAGGGTTTGATGACTCCTTACTAGAACATTTGCAGGTGTTAGGAAAGCAAGTGGGAGTGATAACTACTTCTGTGGTGCTAGGGGCCATACAGTCTGGCTCATCCCTTACACTTCTCTTCACCCCTCAAAGTTCAGGTAAGTGAACAGGTGGAGTTTGGTCTCTGCTTTCCTCACTGCATTTGGCCAGCTAAAGCAGCAAGTAACTTCAGTTCAGTATGAGTTCCAAACTTAGAAGCCCCAAACAACAAGGATTTATTTATTTGCCTTGCCGTTTCCAAGGGTCAGGAATCTGGAAGTCACTTACCTGGTGGTTTTGTCCCAGAGTTCTTCTGAGGTTTCAGTTGACTTGTCAACCAGGACGCCTGACTTAGCTAATGGCTTCACTTGCATCATAGGGCTATTGGCAAATGGTTTCAGTTCTTAGTACCTGAGCCTTTTGGTGAGGTTCCTCCTAACGTGGGACTCACGAAAGCCGATGAGATCGTGACTAAGATGCACGTTACAGGGTACAATGCCTGTTCAACTCGGAGAAACAAAAGAATGCGCAGACACACACGCCCACACTGAGTCTTCACCTCATCATGTAGCAGGCAAGCTGCTGGGATTACAGGTCTGGACCACCACACCCAGCATTTCGCAGTGCTCGGGATGGAACACACAATTTTATGGATGATATGTAAACATTCTCCCAACTGAGTTCACTCCCAGCCCTCCAAATATATATTGTAAGTACAGAAAATGAAATGTTAGGACTAAGTCCTGATATAATAATAGTTAACCAAAAATATTTAAAACAGATTCTCAGAGCTGGAGAGAGAGTTTAATGGCTTAAAACACCGGCTGCTCTTCCAGAAGACCTGGGTTCAATTCCCAGCACCCACATGGTAGCTTACAACCATCTGTAACTGTAGTCCCAGGGAATCTGACCCCCTCTTCTGGCCTCCTGGGACACTAGGCATACACTTTATACACAGACATACACACAGGCAAAACACCCAAATACTTAAATTTAAAAAAGAAACAGACCCTAACTGCAATTTTTTAAAGTCCAAGCGAGGCATGGTGGCATACACTTGGAATCCTAGCACTTAGCAACACAATCAGATCCTGTCTACAAAATCGGTGGGGGTGGGTCCGGGTGAGATAGTTCAGTGGATAAAGGCACTTGCTGCCAAGCCTGAGGACCAGAGTTCTATCCCCAGGACCCACATGGTAGGAGCGAACGTACTTCCTGAAAGTTGTCCTCTGATCTCAACATGTGAGCTCTCTCTGTTTCTCCCCCGCCCCCATTACACACACAAGATTACAAAAGATAGAAAAGATTCATACAGATGGATAAGGAAGATATGTCTACCACAAATACATTTTAAGCTTGGGATAGATAGATCTATAGATATTGGTATAATACATGTATCATTTCTATCTTAATTTGCTTTCTATTGCTATTGATAAAGACCATGGCCAAAAGCAACTTGGGGAGGAAAGGGTGTATTTCACCTTATAGCGTACATCATGAAGGAAAATCAAAGCAGGAACTTGGAGGCAAGAACTGAAGTAGACTTCCGTGGAGGAATGCTGCTATATTAGTCAGGGTTCTCTGGAGTGATAGAACTTACAGAATGACTAAATATATATAGGAAGGGGATTAGAATGACTTCCAGGCTGCAGTCCAGCTCCTCCAACAATGGCTGACTGTGAACAGGAAGTTCAAGAATCCAGAAGTTGCTCAGTCCACCAGGCTGGACATCTCAGCTGGTCTTCATTCAGTATATGCTGGAATCCTGAGGAAGCAGGTTCTAATGCTAGTAAAGGAATGGACTTGCCAGCAGGGAGAAGGCAGACAGGCAAAGAGCAAAAACTTCCTTCTTCCATGTCCTTAGATCGGCTTCTAGAAAATATTAGAGGTGTGTCTTCCCACCTCAAGACTAAAAGCATGTTTCTTCCAGCCTCAAGATCTAGATTAGAAGTGGATCTTCCTGAGGAAAAAAAGAAGAAGGAAGTGTATCTTTCTACTTCAAATTAAGCAAAAATTCCCCTACTGGTGTGCCCTCCATTTTTGGAGTTTAGTTAATTCCAGATGTGGTCAAGTTGTCAACCAAGAATAGCCATCACAGCTGTTTACTGGCTTGCTCTCTGTGACTTGTTCAGCCTGCTGATACAACCTAGAACCATCTGCCTAGGGATGGCACTGCCCACAGTGGGCTGGGCCCTCTTACATCAATCATTTTTCAAGAAAATGCCCCATAGGCTTGCCTACAGGCCAAGCTAATGGAAGCATTTTCTCATATGGGGGTTCCCTCTGCCCAGATGACTTTAACTTGTGTCAAGTTGACAAAAAACAAAAATAACAACAAAAGCCCAACACAATATCTATGTAACCTTCTACTTAAATGGGAAAAGTGCCTTTCATATTAGCAGTTGAGAACTTAGATACTGTTAGGGCACAAAGGGCCTCGGTAAACCCAAGAGCATAAATATTAAAGGCTGTAGGCTTAGCTAAGTGTTACAGTATTTGCCTAGAATATACAAGGCCCTGGTTAGAGCCTCAACACTCCAAAAAAGGGGAGTGTGTGTGTGTGTGTGTGTGTGTGTGTGTATTCTCTGATCATATGTAATAAAACTAGCAATAACAGAAAGCTAGAAAAAAATCACTCCCAGTTTTGAGACACTAATCCTTAGATGAAAGACAAAATAAATATTTAAAATAATAAAGTATTACATGCAAAATTTGTGGAACAAAAATTTGATTAAAAGAAGAAAATATATAGCTTTAAACACATTCATCAAGAAAGAAAGGAGGGCCTGGCTGGAGAGATTGTTCATTGGTTAAGAGCACTGGCTGCTCTTCCAAAGTTCAATTCCCAGCACCCACATGATGGTTCAAGCTTCTGTAACTCCAGTTCTAGGGAATCCAATGCCCTCTTCCAGCCTCTACAGACACCAGATGCATATGATGCACAGATATACATGCAAACATAAAAATAAATTAATAAATTTGTAACTGAATTTTTTTTTTTTTTTTTTTTTTTTTTTGGTTTTTCGAGACAGGGTTTCTCTGTGTAGCTTTGCGCCTTTCCTGGAACTCACTTGGTAGCCCAGGCTGGCCTCGAACTCACAGAGATCCGCCTGGCTCTGCCTCCCGAGTGCTGGGATTAAAGGCGTGCGCCACCACCGCCCGGCCCGTAATTGAATTTTTTAAAGAAAGGAGCCAGCCATGGAGCCTGCACGGGACTGGACTAGGCCCTCTACATAGAGAGACAGTTGTGTAGCTTGATCAGCTTAAGAGGCTCCCTGGCAGTAGGATGAGAATCCATCCCTGGTGCATGAGCTGGCTTTCTGGAGCCCACTACCTATGGTGGGATACCTCGCTAAGTCTTGAGGCAGGGGGAGGGGCTTGGACCTGCCTCTATTAAGTGTACCTCCCCATGGGAGGCCTTACCTTTATGTAGGAGGGAATGGGAGGTGGGTTGGGAGGGGGAGGCTGGAGGGGTGGGAGGAGGGGGATCTGTGATTGGTATGTAAAATAAATAAAAATGTTTTCTTAATTAAAAAAAAAAAGAAAGGAGCCTGGCATGGCACCTCCCACCTGTAGTCCCAGCTCTCATGAAGCTACGGTAGGAGGAGAGTTGTGACTTAAAGGACAACTTGAGCTCGATAGTGAAGGACAGCCCAGCCACTGTTACAGAGCGATACATGAGGGGGAAGAGAGGAAGCAAACAGATAATCTAAGCATTCAACTCAAGAAGTCAGGCGAAGCTTGGTGGCTTAGGCCTGGAATTCAGCACTTGGAAGGCAGGGGGATTACCATGAGTTTGAGACTGTCCTGGGCTACATGAGACCCTGTCTTAAAGAAAAGAACAACCAACCAAAAGCTGGGTATGGTGGCACATGTCTTTACTCTTAGCACTTAGGAGGTAGGGGCAGGCAGATCTCTGTAAGTCTGAGGCCAGCCTGGTCTATATAGCAAACTCCTGGCCAGACAGGGTTACATAGTAAGGCCCTGCCTCAAAATAAAATCCACAGTGATCTCTAGTGTCACTCCAGAGGCTGAAGCAGGAGGTTGACTTGAGCCCAGGAATTTAAGGCCCCCTTAGGAAACTTAGCAAGATCCCATTTTCAAATATAAATAAAATTGGTCATGCACATCTGTAGTACTAGGCAGGAGAACCGAGAGTGTAAAGCTATCCAGGGCTATGTAGTGAGTTCCAGGCCAACCTAGAATACATAAAGAGACCCTGTCTTTAAATAAAAGAAACATTTATTTCATCTTCTTTGCTGGGAAGATTCTGGTGATGTATTAGTTATCAATTGACACCAAATTACCACAAAGCTGACTGACTACATCGGGCATGATGCTGAATGTAGTCTTTGTGATGCTCAACAGGCAAGGGAACTAGGCCCCAGTTCACAAGTTGAGCTACACAGTGAGACCCTGTCTCAAGACAAAACAAAGAAATCAACATCTCCATGGTTTTGGAAGGTCAGGATTCTGGGAGTGGCTTAGTGAGATGGTTCTGCTTCATATGCTCATAGGGTTACTGCCAGTCAGTTACCTGGAGGTGTGGATCCACTTCTAAGATAGCTGTTGGCAGGAGACCTCAGATCCATGCCACTTTAGCCCCTCTATAGGACTACTCTCGACAAACCAACAAACATTTCACAGAATGCTCAATCTTCACGAGAAAACAGAAAACTGAACTGCCTTTTTATGAGCCTGGCTTGAAAATGACACAGTAGCACTTCTGCCTCGATTATTTTGTATATTACAACTGATCCACTAAGTCCAGTCCATACTCAAGGGGCAAAGGAACTAGGCTCCAATTCTTTCATTAGGCATTTTTCTTGGAAGGGTGTGTGTGGCTGATTAGGTAGCCTAGGCTGGCCTTGAATGAAAGATCCTACTGCCTCAGCCTCCCCAAGTGCTAGGATTACTGGTTGAAGTCATCACACCCAACTAACTTGCCAAATCTTAATGGGAGCAGCATCAGTGTGCACATACCTTAAAACCACAGGTAACATCATGATGTGATTCCCCGAATCTTTACATAAAATGCAATTCCAAAAAACATCCATTTTTAAAAAATAATTTATTTAACTTTATTTTATATACATTGGTGTGAAGGTGTCAGATTCTCCCAGAACTGGAGTTACAAACCGTTGTGAGCTGCTATATGGGTGCTGGGAATTGAACTCAGGACCCCTGGAAGAGCAGCCAGTGCTCTTAACCACTGAGCCATCTCTCCAGTCCCCAAACATCCAATTTTTGTTTGCTGTTCCAATACTGGGCTGTACCATGTAGCTAAAGTTAGCCTGGAACCTGTTAAAAGCCTCAACTTTACAACTCTGCTTCAGTTTCCTGGTAGATGATGGTGAGACATCTGGCCCAAAGGCACAGTAAAACCAGACACAGCTCTCCCCTCTGCTGGGATATAAGTCAAGGGACTTGCACATACTAGGAAAGCACTCTAAAAGCAAAGCTATAGAGCTAACAGAATAAGTTGTAGAAGAGTATCTCTGGGACTTGCGGGGGGGGGGGGGGGGGAGGATTTCTTTAAAAATACAGACAAGATGGTGTGACCCCAGCACTGGAGAGGCTGAAGCAAGAAGTTTATGAATTTCAGGCTATCCTGAGCACAGTGAGGTATAGATCATAGAGTGAGAAATGATTAAATAAAAAATAAGTGTATTTAACTAACGATACTACTTACAATTTTTTTTTTTTTTTTGGTTTTTCGAGACAGGGTTTTTCTGTGTAGCTTTGCGCCTTTCCTGGAACTCGCTTTGGAGACCAGGCTGGCCTCGAACTCACAGAGATCCGCCTGGCTCTGCCTCCCGAGTGCTGGGATTAAAGGCGTGCGCCACCACCGCCCGGCACTTACAAATTTAATAACACTAAAATCCCTGAAAAATCACTGAGAAATATGGGACCATCGATGAATAGCATCTGAAGCTTAACAAATCTAGTGTTGGGGTTGGTGGTGGAATAGGGGACAGGCCTTTACAAAGTTGAACAAATTCATTCTATGAGTGAAAAAATGTTTGCCCTGAAGGCAAACAAGTTGTTATTAGACACTGAAGGCTGGGAAAGACCAAATTGTCAGGCTGTAGACTCAAACACTGCTTGCTTTGGATTTCACTATGTATTGCAAAAGTCAATCCTTTGGATCAAGAGCTATTATCCTGATTAGAGAGCAGAATTCACTCTGCGGTTGGCTTTGCATCCTTTGACGATAAGGTACCTGTTTTGCTGAAGAAAGCATATCAGGCTTAAAGAGACTGTCAGATAAGAATGAGAGCTGACGTCAGAACTGAGAAGGAGACACCAAGAGAAAGGGTCCCATAACTCGGCTAGGTGTTGGGCAGAGATGATAAAGGGGTACGGGCTAAGCACTCAAAAAATGTGGGGTCTGACATCAAGAACTCTGAAGGTGATGACTTTAGGGACATGGAGGGATAAAACATTGGGGCCTTACGGGATATGAGGTTAAAGGACTAGAAAGTAATTAAGATTGATTGCTGAGGATGGTAGTCCATTGGCACTGATCTACTGTCAGTCAGGACTTCCTATCGAAGGGGAAAAATGATGTCAAAAGCAGTGAAAATGACGTCAGGGAGGAAAAGGCTGTATGAATCAAACCATCTGTAGATGGAAAGGGGGGTGCAATCTCTAAGCCAGTAGCGAGATGCTTACAGTAGGATGCACTGAACTCATAAAGTTCGCCTCTGTTCCCGGAAGCAGCAAGGCAAATTGCTTCCTCCGCCTTCCTCTCCCACCACCCAACCCCCGCTGGCCTTAACCAATGAGCACCAACCCCCGCTGGCCTTAACCAATGAGCACGCACGCCGGGGCGCGCTGGGGGACGTTCCGTGACGTATCCGCTACGCACGCTTTATCAGGCGTCTTCCCGCGCGGCAGCCTCTCTGTTCTCCCGGTTCCGTAGAGCTCGCTGTGTCTCCAGCCTTCTGACTTTTCCTTTTCCAGGTAAGCAGCGTTTGTCTGGCGCGGGGGTCGTCCCTCGCCCACTCCCTTGCCCGCCAGGGGCGGGAGACGAGAGTAGGAAGAGTGGCGGCCGCTGACACGTAGGCTTGAGCTTCTCCGGGGAGGGCGAGGCCCCGGCTCGAAGGCAAATCTCCCAATTGTGAGACTGGCGGGCTGCATCCGAATGGGAGGAATGCCGGAAGGGACGGGCTGGGTCGGGAGCGGCAGTGACCACGCGACAACCTATACCGGCTGTCTCTTCCCACGTGACTGCCGCCATCTTGTTCTGCGGGGAAAGAGGAAATGCAACGCTGCTCTGGGCCTGCGCGACCGCACAAAATGACGGGTGTGGTGGCGTGGGAGGGTGTGGGCATGCGCGGTAGCGCTCGTCAAATGGCGGACGGGCTCGCTCTGGCTTGCTGGTTCCCGCCTTTTCGGTTTGAGTTTCTTGCCCTTTGATTTATTTCTCTGAACCCACTTTCTGGGTTCCCTGTAACTCTCAGTCTTCAGGTGTTTGACATCTCGCCACTTGCCCCACATTTGCTATTTTCCCCAATATTCCACATGCTCGCCCTATAGGATTTGCATTCTGCCATGTCTTCTGAAGAAGGAAAGCTCTTCGTGGGAGGGCTCAACTTCAACACCGATGAGCAGGCACTCGAAGACCACTTCAGCAGCTTTGGGCCTATCTCTGAGGGTGAGCTATGGACCAGCCCACGGGTTGAGGGTTTTTGGATAAAAGCTAGTTTAGTCTGGGACTGATAACCAGAAATTCTCCTTACCTTCCTACATTTCTAAGATACAGTTAGGCTACAGGATTTGGGGTGGGAGGTGTCCATTCTCTTTTCCACTTAAATGTTAGGGTGCTAACGTTTACGTTTCTGTCCCTCCCAGTGGTTGTTGTCAAGGACCGGGAGACTCAAAGATCCCGGGGTTTTGGCTTCATCACCTTCACCAACCCAGAGCATGCCTCAGATGCCATGAGAGCCATGAATGGAGAGGTGAGGTCTCCTGCCTCCAGAGGAGCCTTCTCCCTGTTTGCCGCTTTCTTCGTTCTTTCTGTTTTCCCTCTATGTCTGCCAGGGGCAGCGTGGCCACAAAGCCCCGCAGTGTCCACTCACAGGAGCATGACTGCCTTCTGTTCTAGGGGGTGGAGGGCAGCGGCAGACAGAGCCGGGCTGCCTGGGAGGCGACGACTGGTCCTGCATGAGGCCGAGAAGCCACCTGTGGATGGTTGACCTGCTCTGGGCTTAGGTAGTAGAGTCTGCAGACCTGTGGGCCTGGCCCGGAGAGGACCTCGTGAGTCTTCTGGGATGGACTCTGAAGCCTCAAACCAAGAGAGGTGTCTAGCCCTAATAGTCGGGCAGCTTAGAGGAGTGGGGAGGAGAACTCAGCCTGAGTTCAGTCAAGATGTAAGTAGTAGCAGGGGAGCACGGTGGATTCAGGTCATTTGTGGGATTCTATAGCTCCTGGTGAAGCTATTCTGGTCAGAGGAGCTTGTTCTGGAACATGGCACCCAGAATTTGGTGCCCAGCAGGAATTTCTGGGCTCTTGTCCACTTGCCTGTGCCCATTCTTCTTCGTCACTGCTCTGACTGACAGACAACCCTTCCTTGTGTCTGTCTCCTTCCCACACCTAGTCCCTGGATGGGCGCCAGATCCGTGTGGACCATGCAGGCAAGTCTGCTCGGGGAAGCAGAGGGGGTGCCTTTGGGGCCCATGGGCGTGGTCGCAGCTACTCTAGAGGTAAGTGCAGTGTGATTTGATTATGAGATGAGGCAGAGAGCTATTTGTTAGAAGCCTATGTCTGAACAACTGCTATTTTTAAATACTTCTCTGTAGGTGGTGGAGACCAGGGCTATGGAGGCGGAAGATATGACAGTCGACCTGGAGGATATGGATATGGGTATGGACGGTCTAGAGACTACAGTGGCAGGTGGGATACCTCTGGTATTGGTGGGTGTTCTTAATAAGTCAGTAGCCTAATATTTATTATCTAACTTATGCTAAGGATGGTAATTTTTACATAGTGTTCATATACTTCATGTGTTCTGCTTATACGTTTTTTTTTAAAGTTTTGTATTGTGTGGCTTGGATATATCATAGATAAATTGCCCAGCACGTGCCAAGCTGTGGGTTTAATCTCCATCACCACAAAAAAGTAGTAAAGTTTATATTGTAAATCCACGTATATAGTTTTTAATGTTACTGTCTGCCATGTAGAATACATTCCTGTAAAACAATTCCGCTTTTTCCCAGAAGCCAGGGTGGTTATGACCGCTACTCAGGAGGAAATTACAGAGACAATTATGACAACTGAAATGGGGCATGCACACATAATGTAGGTGAGACCTAAATATTGGCACTGAGTCAAACTGTTCATCAGACCAACCTGGCCTGGCCCTTTTGCTTTTCTTCTGGCCACACTACCCTTTATCTCTGCTGCATTGGTATCCTGCCCAGCCAATCTATGGGCACCATTTGACTACTCTTGCTGTTAGGTGCATGCCAGAACTAGTTGTGGGGGCAGGTGGTTGGGGGGTGTCCAAAAAGCAATCTTCTGCTCTAGAGCATGGTAGAAATAAAGAGGTGGTGTGCGGCATCTTTATCAACTCTGGGAGGTGAGCATGTTATCAGCCTGTTTCTTCCTGACATCAAAATTCTACCCCTTCTTACTATTCTCAGATACACAAGGAATAACACTTCTGATCCAGGATCGTCCTTCCAAATTGCTGTATTTATAAAGATTTTTGGAGCTGCGCTGAAACATCTGTTTTAGTACATCAAGTTCTATTTTTGAATTGAGCTCCCAAGGTAGTTTGTTAAAGACCTTTTAGAAAGCTCCATGTGTTCTTTAAACGTTTTTTTTTCCCTTTTAAAGACAAATTTTAAGACATTGGTTATGGTACCGATATTTTTTCTTTTGTCAGTTTTTGTTTAGGTTCAGGATTGTTTCTGGCCAAAAAAAGTGGCCAGGCTAATGTTTTTAAAATTAATGTGTATTTAGGGACATTTGAAAAAACTTGTATACAATGTTTATCATGGCCAGAAAGTGATTTCTGAATGTACCTATGAGCAATCTGAATCAAGATCATGGTTACCTAGAGATGTTTTTTATTCAAGATCACTGTCCTGATTATATAGAAGAGCTTCTTGAAAATGTTTGTGAATGTCATTTTTTTAATACTGGAAGAAAAGATATTCTGTTGTGTCTGATGTGTTTAGGATGTCCTTTATGGAGCTAATTAAAAGATGAAACCTGAACACAAATCAATACTGATAATGCTTTTTCCTTGTTCAACCCAGTTTACTCTATAGAAAGAACTACAGGCAAGTCAGGAGGATGGAAACTTGCAAATGTAGTGGGGTGGGCAGGAACTGCCAGAGGGTTGAGCCTTGAAGTTGAAATTAGGAAGGTTTAGATTGCTTTGGGGGTGGGTGGTGAGACAAGCTTGAACACAATTCCCTTAGGGCTAGAATTGGGTTTTCTGAAGTAATTTCTTGGTCCTTTTCACAACTATTATTTCCTTTTCTGAGCACAAGGTGGATACCCTACTTGTATGATTGTCCTGAGAGCATGAACACCTTAATCTCATGACATGGGATGCACAGAATAGTGCATTCTCCTTTCCTTAAATGATGGGGGTTGTGGGGGTAGAGATGTACTGAATGACTTTATGTCAGGCCTAAGGGAAATGTGGTTGGAAAATGGGGATTAAAGAAAGTTCAGACTGGATTCAGAGTTCTGATTTCACATGTGGGCTTTACTTCTCCCTGTTCTTTGACCTTTGGTGAGTCGTTTGACTTCTGCTTCTCATAACATAGTGTTCCACATCTGGGGAGGAAAGTCAAATGACTAAGTATATAAGGCCACTGAGTAGAATCACGGAGGTTGTCTTGAGTGAGAAGCCAGTTGTGGCCCTTTTGGAGGGGGGGCGGAGTCTGTAGCTGTGCAGTTCCATGTCGAACTTTTAGTGAAGGTTCTAGGGGATGGCTTTGAGTCCTGTGGGCATTAGTCCTCCATTAGTTCCAGTTAGAATGGAAAAATAAGTTCTGTCCATGGTTTTCACCTGGCTAATGCTTGGCCAAATATACCAACAGGTTGCAGACTGCAGAACATGACTTCATCCTTGGGGCATGGAGGTGTCTCAGGTCTCCCCCAGCTAACAGGGACAGGCCCCAAGGTTCCTCCTTTCTCCCACCCAAATGGTCATGAATTTGCTTTGGCAGGTGGACGAAGACTCAGGAACTTCCCAGAATTCTGCCTCACCCACTGAGCCAGGCCCAGATTATGGGGCATTGTGGCTAACCCCACCAGGTGGGTACTTGGTCTGAGGAAGCATTCTATGCTGGGCCTTTGGGGAAGTAAGGTGGTGGGAGCTGGCAGAACCACTTCCTGCCTTGAAGGTGGGGGATGGGGAGGAAATATACTGTCACCTGAGGTAGTATTTCATAATCAACCATAGAATGACTGCAACTGGATGATTTTTCCCTCAGGGAAGGTGTGTGTCTAGATATGTTACATATATTGTATATAGAGATACACATATAGCTAAATACATAATCAACAAGAACCATAAAATAGTCTCTGATTTCTGTAACAGTTGCTCCACTTTCCAGATAACTGAAGCTGTATTGTAATAATGTAGCTGTGGAAAGTCTGTCTCTGTTTATTTATTGTGAGGCAAAGGACCCAGAAGACCCACTGCAGAACTTTGGTCCCACAGACCTTGGTAGAACTCAAATTTGAGGTTCAAAACCCCTCAAATTGCCAGTGTAAGGGATTGGACCTAGAGCCAAAATAGCAGATGCCATAGTCAAAGCATCTTGTTGCTAGAATTACAGGAGTGTAATGCCATTCTGGGAACTGAACCAGGGCTTCATGCATGCTAGGCTAGCAGCATTTTAGCAGCTGAGCTATCTCCAGCCTCCAAAAATATTTTTAGGCCCTGCTTCCTCAGTTTCAGCAT